GGATGGACGGGCCCTTCCAAATCACAGCCTGGGCTGTCTGAGGACAGCTCTCCCAGGAATCATCTCTACCCACCTATGACGAGAATGGAGTCAATAAATAAGGGTACACTCCGAGGGTCCACAGTGGCTTGCTTGGCCCCCAAGCCTGCAAATCAGACTCGCCAAGAATTAATGAAGGCAGTGACCCACGGGGACCGACAGCTCGCTGACCTACGAGAGAGGCGCCACGCCCCAGCCTTGGCTTGCCTTGGACACTGCCCTCCTCACCACTCCTACCCCTCTGTATCAGGCCAGAGCTCAGACTCCAGGTAGACCCACGGCCATGTCCAAACCAGATGCCCAGGACCTCAGCAGGAAGAAATCCAATCCAGAAAGAAAGAAAAAGGGAAGGACACTGCTTTCCTAGAAGCCTAGAAAGAAGTTCAGATACAGAAAGAAAGCAATCTACAGAAGCTGTGTCTGAAACAGCAAAAACCTGGAAACAAGCCAAATGTCCATCAAGAAGTGGATGAATGAGCCAACTGGGATGCATCTATACAATGGAACACTACTCAGCATTAAAAAGGAGTGAACTATTGATAGACGAATCTCAAAATAAATAGCCAGAGGCCAGATAAAATAAATTGATTCCTTTATGCAACACTCTAGGAAATGTAAGCAATCTATACTGAGAGAAAACAGATCAGTGAAAGGGTGGGAAAGAACTGCAAAGGGGCACCGGGAAGTGTGGGAAGTGATGAATATTTTCATTACCTTGGTTACTTGATGATGGTTTCACATATGTCAAAATGCATCCATTTGCACATTTTAAATATGTGCAGTTTATTCTGCTCAATGTATTATATCTAAATTGAGCTGGATAAAAAAAAGAATGAAAACAATTTGGGGGCAGGAGGATATCAAGGAATTTGGTGTGACCAAGAAAAAGTGGAGCGATTCTCCTTATTTGTGGTACAGTTAAGGGCTTTAAAGTCACCTCAAACACTGAATTACTGAATGGTGAGTCTTTGGCCCTAGGGGAAATACAGAGTTAGGTTTCTATGAGCTGATCACATTTTCAACAACCAATCAATACGTAACCTCATTTTATGTGTTTCTGTTTAAAGACACTTTACTAAATAAACTGTTGAGATATCTCGCTGGTTGATCAAGGATGCCAAGGGGCATGAATGATGCCTGACCCAAGCTTCCCTGCACAGTCCAGTAAGGAGATGTTCATACAAAACCACAGAGTCAGGGTGTGCAGGTTAAGTGCCCCAAGTGAGGCAGAAACAAGACAATAAGAACTCCACAGAAGAATGCGAGAGGGCTCTCCTATGCGGAGGACAGTGAAGCAAAGCTATTGGGGGGAAAAATAAGGGGCTACAAAAATAGAAAAGGATAAACAGAACCAGGGAGGCTCAAGTTACAGAAGCCAAAAGTTGAGAGGATGTTAAAAAAGGAAGGCTGAGGCAACATCAGGTACATAAGAGTTTCTGAAAGAACTTTCCTTCGGGAAAGGCTATGGGACCTTGAGGAGCAAAACGGTTGTATGGCACAACTGTAGAAGTTTCCTGCCCTTGGAAAGAGAAAGGTGAAAGGCATACCATTCTTGGTTAGTTTCTGAAAGTTTTTTAGTTCAAACTCTCCCATAAATGGGAAAGAACCATGCATCGGAGCATCTGGGCAGAGAAATGGTCTCTACCCTTAGCCAAGCTCTGTGTCGCTAAGGTAGATTGGTGTCATGATAATGAGCCCTCCCTTGACTGCATCCCAAGGGTGAGCAGGGCCATGAGAGTTGCCCTCCTGTGTGAGTAAAAGCCCAGCAAGAGCTGTACCATCACAGCTGGGCCGGTCTCCATTGGCCGTGAGCAGGAGGCAGAGCTCTTTCCTTGAGGCCGAGCCCCACAAGGCAGAAGCTGCTGCATGCACACTGAGTTTGGGGATGTGATGCTTTGAACCCCAGGAAACCCCTAAAACTTCTCCCATGAGAACAAGACAAGTAACCAAAAATGGGGACAGAGGAAAGCTAAGCTATGGTCCCCAAGGAATCACAGGAATGAGGGAAACACTCGGAGGTCTCTTTGGGACCAAGAGCTAATGAATAGACACTGAGACCATTAGGACCATTTGCATATTTCTGCCTCTCCCTCCTTGACCCCAAAACAAACAGGGCTGGCTTTTAGAGGCAGTGAGCAGTGAAGAATGGCAGGAGGGGTGCCCTGAGGGCCCAGCTGATTCTCCTAAGTCTAGTGCCAAGGCCGTCACTACAGGGTCTGAGATTCCCACCTCAGGCCCCATCACATCCAGGCCTGGGTGCCTTCATCTAGACACTCTGCAAACTGAAGTCTACTCTGACAATAACTAGTTCTTCTCAGACTCTATTATTTTGTTTTGTAGCAGCTTTCTGAAACCCCAGAGGATTGGGCTTCAACTGTTAGGTCAAGCAAAATGTGAGCTCTTAGTAGGATATCTTTCTACCAGAAATACATTCCTTGCAGGCAGGAGCTGGGGCCATCTTGTGACCATGTTGCCCCAGCACTTGGACAGTGCCAGGTACCAAATGGGTGCGCACGTTCACTTATTCACTTGATGGACACGGGGGAGCCCATCTGAGAGTCCCAAGTCAAGGAAAGGTTTCATGGCTTACGAAGTTTGGAAACTACTTCCCAGAGCACTCCCTGGAAGGCCATGCCTCATTCAATACCTGCTGACCCCTCGAGGGACTCAAACTTGTCAAATGGGGCCACAGATGGCCACAGACTCAGCGTCTCCCTCCTGGAGGACGGAGGAGGCACCCCACCGAGTGGAGCCACCACACAGGTGGACCTGCTCCACAAGCTGCCAGTGATCATCAGATTTCAAGCCAAAAACACAAAGACTAAGTGGGAAACGAAGTTTTGTTTCAATGCCATGTTCATGCCTAGCAGTCCCTAATCAGGCAATTGGAATGGAGAGGCTGGGAAGGAGAGTTCCCTTTGAATGACATGGCCAGTAAGAAAAGGCTGGAAGCGCAAGGCTGTCAGGTGATCCAGGAAGTGGGCGCTGGGGCTGATGAGAGATGGCTTTTTGCCATTTTCAGATATGTCTCTTCATCACTGTAAAGCCTTGCCAGAAAGAAAACTCGTCCCAAATCTCGAGGAATCTGAGCATCACTCAGAACAAATCTACGTCACTAATGAAGGATCTTGGGCAATGCACAAAGGGGCAGGAGGGTCCAAGGAGGGCAACCACCTGCCTGTGAGCACGGCATTCCCTGACGCAGCATCGCAGGGCCGCCTTCCTGCAGCTCACACACCTGCCTGATGGTTCAGGCACTGCACATCATCTGCAATGAGCAAGAGGCAAGACGAGGGACCCAGCTGCCCTAGAGCCCTGCCCTGGGTCTCAGGCATGGAAGGGTCTGTAGAGCTACCACCGGTCACAAAGAGGTGGCTTTTTCTCTGATCCATGCTGAGATAGGGAGGTCTGCTACCTTCACTTACCTACGCTGTGAGGAGGAGGGCAAAGGACCTGTTTTACAAAAGACAGTCCATCCCAACAGCACAGCCCGCTTCCCCGGCAAGGCAGTGGATGTTGGGGGAGGTCACAGTTCATGCATGACCAGGGCGGGAGCTGCAGGAGGCTCCAGCTCCCCCTCCTCACTGGCGCCAGGACCCTCTCTATGCAGGGGCACAGACTCTCAGATAAAAAGCAACGGCAGTGTGAGCTGTCTGGCGAGAAGAAGGAAAATGTCCACATGTGCACCTTTTGAATTTAGAAGGGGATGTGTAAAATGTCACTCGGCATCTAACACAAAGCTAACACAAGGCAGACATTTGGGAAAAGACAGCCCAGAAACTTCCTACCAAGGGTGTGGATATGAGGGAAGGTGACCAGCAGGATCCAGGTCCCCCAGCCTCCCTTCAGGCCTTTGACCTGGGCTGAACTGTGTTCCCAAACATTCCTGTGTTAAGCCCTAACCCCCAGCACTTCAGAATGTGACTGTATTTGGAGACAGAGTCTTTACAGAGGTCACTAAGTTAAAACCAGGTCACAAAGGTGGGCCCTAATCCAATACAACTGGTGTCCTTACAGGACACAGACAGGTCCAGAGGGAAGAGCAGGTGAGGACACCACGAGAAGACAGCCATCTGCAAGCCCAGGAGAGAGGCCTCAGGAGGAACCAACTCAGCTGTCACCCTGACCTCAGACTTCCAGCCTCCAGAACTGGAAGAAAACAAGCTTCTGCTGTGTAGCCAGCCAGTCTGCGGGATACTGCGGGGAAGCCCGAGCTAACAGCATCCTCCCCTCTGCAGGCAAAGGCTCCGGCAGGTCTGTGTGCTGAAGCCGTTCTGGCCTCAGCTCCCTGCCTGCATCTGCAGCTACCATCTCGGACCTGCCAAAGGCACTGTAAGAATCCCATACCCAGGGCCGACCACGACAAAGAGAAGGTCCATTCCCAGAAAGGGCCACCTGAGGCTGACATGCCGAGGGAAGGCAAGGGCGCCAACACTGCCCCGGGCCTCCGTTAGTTACAGGGTCCCCAATCTCAGTGCTGACTGAGGCAGGGGCACATTAACACACACATCAGCAACAAGGCATGGGTCAAGACCCTCCCGCACTGTGTTCTAGCCCACCTTCAGAAAAACAGCTACCAACTCCTGAGGCTCACGAGGGGCGCCCAGAGTGACCCAGGAGGCAGGCAGCGTTACCCCCACCGCATGGAAGGGCAGAGGGAGACCAGTGAGGCCCAGAGGCATGCCCGCAAGGAGAGTCTGCACAGCGCGGCTCTGCTGCAGCCCAGGCCCTCCCGTCTCTACCCAACTCAGCCCGGTGTTCCCAGGCAGAGCCGAGTCAAGGAGGAGAGGGAGAGAGAGGACAGAGATGGGAGACTCCCTTTGGGAGCCTTGGAACAAAGGTTCTAGTATCAGGCCTCTACCTACAGTGACACGCATTCACTGACCACCTTAATCAATACTGAAGAGGCAACTCTCCTGCAAAGAAAGGTGCTAGTGACTAGTGTCACGCATAGGGCTTACCTGTCAGGAGTTGGCTCCGCAGCGCTGTCTGCTGGCGCAGCCACCCTGGTTTCACTGAGAGGACCCAGGTGAGGACCTGGCTGCCGGTCACTGGGCTGCTGGTCACCGAGCCACCAGTCACTGGGCCTGTGGCTGCTGCCTCCTGCTCAGCATTGTGGTCAGCGCCAAAGCTGGAAAGTCAAAGGGGCCATCACTGAACTTCCATAGAATTTATACAAATGAACTTATATTCTGAGCCCAGGAATAAAACTTTTAAAACAGACATGAAAGAATATTTTTCTCCAAGAAGATCATTTAAAAGAGTGTTCTGAAGAACAAAACAAGGACGTGACTCCATAAGATGTAGATTTCCAGTTGCCACGTGATGCCCAGAGACAGAGGACAGAGGGAAGATGCCCTGGGCTCTCCACTCACTGCCCACACATCTCTGTGTCTCCAAAGCACGCTGCCTCCAAGGCAGGCGGGTACAAAGCACACAGACCTTTGTCCTCTAGCAAGGCAAAGTTCCCTAGAATTCACTTCGGGCCCAGGTCAGGGTCCTCCCAGGCTACAACCCTTCAGTCTACCCAGCAGGGACCTCCCTCCACGTCAGACCCGGTCCCAGCCCACAGTGCCTGCTACTGTTCTCAGCAGAGACCCTGCTGGGCACTCTGCATGACGCACATGTGTTCCACGAGAGGGGTGCAGAGCAGGCAGACCTGGGGATCCAATTCTGGCTCTGATCTTTGATTCATCATTCAAGTCCTATGAACTGAGAGCTCAAGGCATGGAGCCCTCAGTTCACAGGTGTGTTCCAGGTGTGGAGAAGAGGGTGGAGACCAATTCAAACCCCTGCCGGAGGAGACTCTGTAGTGACCTGGGCAACTCACTGGTCTTCCCAGGCTCTGGTCCCACTGCAAAGCATGGGGATGAAACCCACCTCACTGAGGATTTTAATACCCTGCATTGGAATGCCACTGGATTTCAACACGTTTAAATGAAACACAGAGAATGACTTAGCAGTGTGACTGGTATGCAGCAAGGGTGCCATCCAGGATCCTCCTATCGCTGTTGTGCTGGAGGAGGTCCCCTGCCTACAACGTGGGTGCTCTCAACGGATCCCTCCATGAAGGAGTCAGAAGCTACATTTTCCTAATTGTTAAATAATGATGAAAATGAAACCTGCCCCTGCCTCTTACCTAACATCAAGAAGTCCTGGGCCCAGAAATAAGAAGACTAGTGTGCAACTATAGTCATCAAATGGCTGTTTTTTAAAACAGGTTCTGCTGAACATGCTTGCTAAGAATCCAGGTTCCAGAGAGTCTTGGTTCATCTCCAGATGCCACCCCTTAGCGGCTAATATCTGGGCAAATTACTGAGTCATTGGGGCTCAGTGTTCCCAGCTATAAAATCAGCATGAAAATAGTATCTCTCTCACGGAGCTTTTATTAGCATTAAATGAGCTAATGCATGTAAAACTTAGGACAGGGTCCAACGTATAGCAAATGTTAAACAAATGTATAGTTATCATTAACTACAACACGCCAAATAATCCTCCCATTTTCAGGTGTGAAACACACCAGCCACCTGCAAGCTATGAAGCTTGCCAATGTTTACAGGGGATGCTGGTCTTTTTAGGACCAAAAGGGGAGATATGTGATACACGATTATGAGACTGATCAAAGTTGAACATCACCTGCCTATGCAAAAGCATTTTATTAAGGGTATCTGCTTTAACCCTTTCAAAGAATTTGGAAGTTTGGAAAGTATCAAGATGACTGTGTCGACTAGAATATTTCTAAGTTCTAGTAACTTAATGACTACAAGAAAAGAAAAAAGGGTGCATGGTCAAACAGGTATAAGGGTCTATAACATGGCAATGGGAACACTGGGGAACGGACTTCGGGTCACTGTCACAACAGCATATGAATCACCCCTAATTCTCATATCCTGATGTGTGTCCCATCTCTAGAGAGCCTAATCTTTTCCTCAATTCTGATTCAAATGCCCAGGACCACTTCCTAATGCATCTTCAGGCATGTGGCTTCAAACGTAAGACATGTGCTTGAAAGGTTTGCTTTTTCTCATGGGCACGATAAATTAAATACATCATTGAGGTAAAGTGAAATATACTTGTCTTATCAAACCCATCACCACTTCATCCATTTTTGTCCACTTTCTAGGAAGTTGATGTTAGACTTTACAGTTGACAAAATAAAGACAACATGATCTTTAAACCTGATAAACTGAAGAGTTAGTAAGATACAATACCTCCTCAATAACCTCAGTGCTTGCCCATCAACACACAGGGGAAAGCCTGCTGCAAACACAACCTCTCGGCTCTGTTTACAGTGGCCTCATCTGGCACCGACGCCCACACCACCAACACCCCGAGAGCAGACCAGCACGCTTCACACGCTGACCCAGACCACTGGACAGAAGTTACAGAGTTTAAAGGGCTCACTCGGCTATTTCCCTATCAGTCAGGAGAGATTTCTTAAGCAGTTTCCCGTTAGATATGACTTAAACTTGAGATCTTAAAGAATATATTAATCTGGGGAAAAACAAATAATGTCTTAACTTACTTTCAAAATATCCCACAAACAAAGGGCCTTTTGATTTCTGTTTAGTATCTTTGATATCTTCCAAAAATTCCTGAGCTAATATAAAGTTTTCCTTCTGTCTAGCTTTCTCACACTAAATATTTAGAGTAATAACAGTGACTATTTAGACACTCAACAAATCCTAACTTTCATGACGAGGGTGTTCAGCCTGTTCAGCCACAGAGCTCCGGAGTGAAATCTAGGCCTTCTCAGAAGGCGACAGAATACTTTTAGTTAAAAAAAAACAAAATTAAGCTCTGTATTGTACTGCTATCAGAGACTTAAAGACGGCTGTGTTTTCCCAGAGTAAGAGGGTGCTTATGAAGACAAATTGAGAAATATGTAAACAGAATGGAATTAAAAGGAACATTTCTAAAAAGTAATTATAAAATGTCAGAATGCTATTGCCAGGACCTGTGGACAGCTTAAAGCTGAAACAACAATTAACTATGAAATACAGGCTGGGCACAGTGGCTCAGGCCTGTAATCCCGACAATTTGGGAAGCCAAGGCTAGAGGACTGCTTGAGCTCAGGAGTTCGAGACCAGTTATGGCAATATAGTGTGACACTGTTTCTACAAATAAAAACCTTTTTTAAAAAATTAACTGGGTGTGGTGGTGGGTGCCTGTAGTCCCAGCTACTCAGGAGGCTGAGGTGAGAGGATCGCTTGAGCCCAGGAAGTAAAGGCTGCAATGAGCTGAGATCACACCAGTGCACTCCAGCCTGGGTGACAGAGTGAGACTCTGCCTCAAAAAAAAAAGCCAAACTTCACACCACTTTTATCAGGTATATCTTCTAGCATCTTCATTCAGTAATGCAAATCCAGCAGCCACAGCTCCTTTCCTGGTAAAGATGATAGAACAGGAGGCCCACAGAAGCGGGCAGCAGATGGAAGCAAAAACAGAAACCATCCCACCTCGTTGCCAACATCATCCCTCAGCACCTATGGCGGACCGGTTCCAGGACCCCAGAAACACCAAAATCCATCAGAGGATGCTCCAGTCCCTGTTATAAAATGGCGTAGTATTTGGATATGACCTACACACTTCCATTCACTTTAAAACATTTCCAGATTAATTACAATACCTGACACTATGTAAATGCTATGTAAATAGCTTTTATGCTGTATTGTTTTGATTTGAATTATTTGTTTTATTGTTGTATTTGACTGCTTGGGGGGGTGAATATTTTTATCCATGGTTAGTTGAATCCAAGGATGTGGAACCCACAGATGCACAAGCTGTGGAATAGGAGAGCGGTTGTACTTTCAAATCACCAAACATACAGAAAGGCTCAGCAGCAACTCAGCTGCCAGAGACCCATTCATCTGGCCCAATCCTAGGAAGGTCCTTCTTCCCTCACTAACCTGTCCACCAGCAGACACCAGGAGAGGGCCATAGAGACAGTGAATGGCCAAGGAGCAGAGCACAGACACCCCAAGAGCAGCTTCTGAACTGCCACCATCAGTGAAACCAACAAAACTTAGCCAAAATGTGTAAACAGGCCCAGATTCCACCTGGGTCTCAATTTCAGGGTCAAGCAGGACCAACAGGCCCAATAATCCTTAGTGCAGGGCCTCCAGGAGTCACCAGTCGAGCAAGCACAAAGATGGGTTAGCCAGAGAGCGTGCTTCCCCCCACGGCCATGCAGGCCAGAAGCACACGGAGGTCAGAGGCTGCCTACCTGAAAGAGGCAGCACACTGCTTTAAAACTAGCCAAAGGCCAGCAGAGCGGAGAGAGGCAGCGGAGGACACATGCACAGAACAGCGACTGAGCAGAAAACCTACAGAAAAGACCACACTCACAATAGCTTACATACACAGGTATGCATATTTTAGGCTAGCCCTAAGAATAATCTTATACAAACCATAAAATATTACAGCACTTACTTAGGAGATATAAAAATACCTAAATGAATGGAAACACGCTAAGTTCTCAAATGGAAAGATTAAACATCATAAGGATTAATTCTCTTAAAAGTAATATAAATATCCAAAACAACTTTATAATGCAGTATGTATCTATCTAAATTCAAGCAGTTTTTTCTTAGAACCAGTGGAAGAATCCTAAAACTAACAAAATAAAATAAGTGGTAAGATGGTCAATCACAGAACATTAAGGGAGAATTACTTATCATTTAGTAAAATGCACCCTAAAGCAAAAGTAGTTAAAACAGTGTGTACTTGGCACAAAAATACATGCCACTGTTCATCCAGAAGAGTCAAATCTGCAAACACACACATGAGCATTTTTATCATGGCACCACGTGCTACACAAGCTACACTGAAACAAGAGTGGGCACGTGTCTTCACTCCGTAACCGAGCATACAGGATCCCTGGGACTAGAATCCCAGGGCTGGCAGCCATTCCTGACTCTCCAGATGATGCCACCCAAGATGGTGGCGATGGCTATGATAACTGTGCTCAGGGCAATAGCAGCCACCCTTGATTGACAACCTATTACCTGTCAGAATCTTACCAAATGCTTTACAATCTCTCATGGGAGGGTTTTTTGAAGATCAAATTGAAGGCAGTAAAGGCCTGTGAGTCACAAAACATAACATGTAAAGATTGGCGGTTTTTAATTA